AACTCCAATAGCAAGTGAAACCTGGCCCAGTTTTGCTTTTAAGCTGTCAGCAAAAATATGACCAATGGAATTACTTGTTTCTGTCTTGAGACAGTTCCCAGGTGCAAAATAAGAAGTTTTTACCTGTCCAAGAGGCAGTTTGCAGTATCATCTTTGCCCATTAAAACACTTTCCCCAGCTTCCTGTGTACATGTTTAGAAAGAGGTATCTTCCTGTGTGTGAGTAAATACATCCATATAAAATTCAAGCTGTATTGTTACTGTGCAATTGGAGACACCCCAAATATTTGCTTTCTATGAATTCAGCTTTATTGGTGGTATTAAGCAAAAATAAAAATAACTTCCATATGCTTCTAGAAGGAATACAGAACATGTTTATGCAGGTTAGTCTGTTTGTCTCAACCTCCATATCCATTTTCTGCCTTCCCTGCTGGCCTCTTTGCTCCGGGAGACCAACCCCTAAGGGTTATACAGTGAGGCTGTCTTATAGACTGATTTCTAGGTGCCTTCTGCCATTGGGAAATGCCCTTAGGAGATTAGAGGGCAAGAGGAGAGAGAGGTACCATCTTTCTTCTTGTTCTTTGCTGCAGTAGGCTCTGTTTCTGGTCTGTAGGCCTCTGTGAACAGTGTTCCTGCTGGGCCTCCCTGACTTCCTCCTCAGCTCCAACTCTCAATGGGCTCCAGTAACACCCAGTTGCCTCAGGCTTGGGTATGGCTACCCGATAAAATATAGGACATCCAGTTAAATTTAATTTCGGTTAAGCAACTAGTAATTTTTTTAGTCTAAGTAAATATAAGTGCAATATTTGGGACATACTTGTACTAAAAAATTATTTGTTGTTTATCTGAAATTCAAATTTAACTGGTATCTGGCATTTTTATTTGCATCTGGTGACCCTAGGCCAGGGGGTTGCAATGGCCTCCCATGTTGCTAGTCTCTGGGTGCCTCACCATCCTTCACTGTTTCCCTTAAATGTGCCCACAGCCCTGTGTGTCATCCCTCACCTTAAGAGAATTACAATCTGAGTTACATGCTGTTTCCTTCTGGGGTGATGACTGACATGCTGCCAGTACATAACAGGCCAAGGGAAGCACTGGGGAAGGTGTTACATTGGGGCTACAGTTTCCAAGATACAGAAACTTCCAGGCATCCTCTGATTGAGCCTGTAAACTTTTTGGAATCAGGATGAGATTGAGGAGATGGGATTAGGCTGAGGGGGCGGGGATTAGGCTTAGCGGGGACAACTTTGGGCAGAGGGGGTGGGGATTAGGCCGAGGAGGTGAGATTAGGCTGAGGGATACTAGGTTGGGCAGAGGGGGTGGGGATTAAGCTGAGGGGGTGGGGATTAGGCTGAGGGATGGGCATTGGGCAGAGAGATAGCGCAAGGTACAGATGTAACAGCACTCAGCTAAATTTAGAGATTGAATTGCTTCACCTCCTCCTTTGTGCCAGTCTTAGCCTTACAGCCCCGCTGTACTATAAAGCAGTCATAAGAACAAAAGCTTGGTATTTTCTTTAGTCTTTCAACAAATATGTATACAACCTTGCTGCAAGCCTGGTTTTGGCTAAGACACTCTTCAGCCATCCAATCTGTTTCTACTTTTGTGTTAGTAACCTTTGATAGGTTTTCACGGACAGTCCCAGATGACTGAGTGTTGCGACCCTTTGTCCTGGGTCAGGGGGATTGCAGCCTAATGTTTCAGTGCTGTCTCCCCTCCCCCACCCAATAGGTAGTTTTAAAGCTACTAGATTCTGACAGCTTGTGTCAAGTCCCGTTTATTGCTCAGAAATCAAGAGGAAAATCCACTCTGCCAACCCCCTTGGGATTGTTCTCAGTCAGGGGTGGTAATGATTCCTCTTTAAAATGATGCTGGAAAAAGTGGGCTTTATTCCAAATGCAGAAAATTGTGTAGGTCAGCAAAACCTGAGAGAAGAGGCAAGGAACGATATACCCATGTCAAAGGGGTTCTCTGGGCCCTAACTTTTTCAACACCTTATTCTAATGTGTGTTGAGGTTTTAAGAAAATTAGTGCATCTTTTAGCCACTAAATTCATCAAACTATGGGCCTTTCCAAGGGAGAGACTCTATTTCCAAGATGTTTGTATTCTCAGGACTCGGCACAGCGCAGGCACAATGTGTGCTCCTGAGTGAATCTAACGGCCTTATCACCAAGGAACGAGGCCATTGTGTGTATTAGTGGAGTCTCAGCTAGCTGACTCCTGCCTTGTAAGTACCAAATTTTCACTTGAATCTTATTTTTACTTTTAAATCAATTTCATTGAGGTAATTGGCATGGAATAAGACACACCTCCATTAGTATAGAGTTTGGTGAATTGACAAATATATACATCTGTGCAACCTCTTCCCAATCAATGTATAAATCATCTCTATCAACCCCAAAATTCCTTTGTGGCCCTTTGGAGTTAACTCTCTCCACTTGACCATTTTTGATGGGAATTTGTCTAAAACACAGTCCCTCCACTTCATTCCATGAGAATACCCAATGCAAGTGCCTTTACTATTGACCCTCTGAAGCCTTCACTGTGAATATTGGTTTCGGTGGTATCTTTAGAAGTGGGTGAGGGAATTAGACTATTTTGCCTCTATTAAACCTGCCCTGTTTTGCTTGGGAGCTTCTTGTTGGTTGTTGTAAAATTGTTAATCTTTTCTCTAACTCATACCTGTCACTTTTATTGTGCGTGTAGTCTTTTTAAAAATCAGTGTTCCTGCTTCTAACCCAACAGCATCCCTGACCCATTTTCTTTCTTTCTTTGTTTTTCTTTCTTTCTTTCCTTTTTTTTTGTTTGAGACAGTTTCACTCTTGTTGCCCAGGCTGGAGTGCAGTAGTGCAATCTTGGCTCACTACAACCTCTGCCTCCCAGGTTCAAGCAATTCTCTTGCCTCAGCCTCCCGAGTATCTGGGATTACAGGTGTGCACCACCATGCCCAGCTAATTTTTTTTGTGTTTTTAGTAGAGATAGATTTTCACCATATTTGTCAGGCTGGTCTTGAACTTCTGACCTCATGATCCACCCACCTTGGCCTCCCAGAGTGCTGGGATTAGAGGTGTGAACTGCCGTACCTGGCCCCCTGACCCATTTTCTTTTTTATTTTTTTTGAGATGGAGCCTCGCTCTGTCGCCCAGGCTGGAGTGGAGTGGCGTAATCTCAGCTCACTGCAAACTCCGCCTCCTGGGTTCACGCCATTCTCCTGCCTCAGCCTCCCCAGCAGCTGGGACTACAGGCGCCCGCCACCATGCCAGGCCAATTTTTTTTTTTTTAATTATTTTTTAGTAGAGACGGGGTTTCACCTTGTTAGCCAGGATGGTCTCGATCTCCTGACCTCGTGATCCACCCGCCTCGGCCTCCCAAAGTGCTGGGATTACAGGTGTGAGCCACTGTGCCCGGCCCCCTGACCCATTTTCTTATTTGCCTCTTCTAATCTACTATATGGGTCAAAACACCAGATAATCAATCTTATTAAGAATTTAAAAATTAAGTAGGGCACTCTTAAGAATAAATGGGTCCAGATTTAGTGCATGGACTTGGTGGCATGTCTTTGCTCAAAGGTCTTTTATCTTCATGGCTCTGGGCTTTGGTTATCTGAAGCCTGGCCATCCTTAGTGCTCAGCTTCTCTTCGGCAGAGGAAGCACAAGGCTGTCTATCTGATTGCCTCGGGATGCCATTTTCCACAGCCACCTCTCAAAGCCAAATTAGATCAATTTCACCCATGCCACAGTTAGAGTTTCCAACTGCAGAACGCAGAAGCTTTCTGTTAAATTCTAGCGGTGTTTTCTTTGAGAGTTTTAGAACAACTGTTTTATAGCAACCATTCTAGTTCAACCACCTGAGCTCTTTTATATACAGTAATTTTTGAAGTCTCCTACGGTGTCTCTTTAAGAGCCTCTCCACTTGGCAGCCTTTCTCCTTGGCTTCTTACCTAGCTCTGTCCTTCTTTGTCCTGCTCTGCAGCATCACTGAGAGCTGTTCATGTACGTGTGGACTGTGGGGTTCTTGGCCGCATTGTAATGCAGGACGTCCTGCATTACATTTGGAAATGGCCAAGAGGACTTGGAAAGAAGAAAATTGATCCCTCCATTCCCAAAGGATGGGGTTAAATGTGGTTGTGAATTCTTGTTCCTCGGTGAGTTTTGGATGTTCTTCTTTCATGAAGTAACATTCAACAGTGGTGTGCAGGCTGCAAAAGGCAGCTGAACTTCAGCAACTCTTCCTCAACATGTTGTAAAAGGATTACTCTGGATCCTAACCTCTGAAGCCTGTGGGGGCCTACCTGGCCGAGGCATTCATGATGAAGGGTGACTCATTACTTCCTTGACACTGAGGCTGTGAAGAGTGAAGGTGGACGGCTGGGGAAGTCACTGTGATCATGGCATCTTGTATTGATTGTGGAGCCTGTTGCTATACAGTGGAGGGGAATTTGTAGGTGGGTTTGAAAAGTAGAAGTCCAGAGAGTGAGGAAACGGAAAAATCAACAGAACTGGGAAAGGTGACACATATAAAATGTGAATTTAGTTTAAAAAAATTTTTTTTTTCTCTCTGAGGCGGAGTCTTGCTCTGTCGCCCAGGCTGGAGTGCAGTGGCTTGATCTCAGCTCACTGCAAGCTCCGCCTCCTGGGTTCACGCCATTCTCCTGCCTCAGCCTCCTGAGTGGCTGGGACTACAGGTGCCCGCCACCATGCCCGGTTAATTTTTTGTATTTTTAGTAGAGACGGGGTTTCACTGTGTTAGCCAGGATGGTCTCGATCTCCTGACCTCGTGATCCACCTGCCTTGGCCTCCCAAAGTGCTGGGATTCCAGGCGTGAGCCACCGCGCCTGGCCTAAAAAAATGTTTTTTAAGTTACTTCTAACAGATAAATCGATCTTGTTTTAGATCATTTTATTTAGAAGGTAAATAATACAATTTTAGTCTGAAATGCAGGCTGAAGATGAATTGTTTCCCAACAGTTTGTGCAATTTTCATGCAAAAAATGAAAGACACAGTAACTCCTTTGTAATAGATAATTTCTAGATGGTTTCCCATTTATGGACTGAAGGTATACCCTTCCTCCTGCTCCCATGCAAACTCGTATGTTGAAATCCCAGCCCTCAATGTAATGGTATTGTGGTGTGGGGCCTCTAGGAGGTGATTAGGTCATGAGAGTGGAGGCCTCATAAATGCGATTAGCGCCCTCATAAAAGAGATCTTGGAGAGATCCCTCTCTCATCCTCTTTCCACTGTACTAGGATATAAGAAGTCAGCCATCTGGAAGCAGGGAGAGAACCTTCATAGAACCTGACCATGCCTATACCTTAGACTGACCTTAGACTTCCAGCCTCCAGAACTGTAAGACTGTTTATAATCCACCCATCTGTTGTACTTTGTAACAGCAGCTTGAACTGAGACAGGTTCCATTTGCACACGGTCTACCTGGGTCATCTATGGCTCATCCTGCTTTGCTGTTCCTCCAACATTCACCGAGACCTGACTTTATATTCTGTACGTATTTGCTGACTTATGTAGCACCTGTTTCCCTCACTAGTGTGTAACACCCATGAAAGGAGGTGTTTTATCTCTTCATTTATGCATTCTTAGTGCCTAGGATGTGCCTGGCACATAAAAAAGCACTCCATAGATATTTGTTAAATGACAGAGTGAACACCAGTGGCAATTTCTTTTAAAAAAATTGATAGCATTGAAAAAACATGGTGGCCAAAGTAATACATTTTCACAGAAGATATTCAGAAAATATAGAAACAGAAAGGAAAAATAAAAATTAACCCCAATTTCACAATGCAGAGAAAACAACATAAACATTTCGATGTTTGTCCTTCCAGGAGGTGTTCAAGACATTCATTGGCCTATCTAGCAGGGACTGACTGAGACGGTACGTTGTATATTTATCAAAAGATGCTTCCAGTTTTACCTTGGCCTGGGCAACTGCAGACAGTCTCCTTGGATGATGCTTGTGACTCTTCCCCCAACACCTGAGTGGCCCCTTGTGGTTGGGTACATGGATCCCAAAGCTGAGTGTGAAGTCGGTGCTGGGAACTGAGTCACCAAGGGCATGGATGCTTCCACCAAGGCAGACAAGATTTAAAAATCTAGTTTCAGGCTGGGCGCAGTGGCTCAAGCCTGTAATCCCAGCACTTTGGGAGGCCGAGATGGGCGGATCACGAAGTCAGGAGATCGAGACCGTCCTGGCTAACCCGGTGAAACCCCGTCTCTACTAAAAAATACAAAAAAACTAGCCAGGCAAGGTGACGGGCGCCTGTAGTCCCAGCTACTCGGGAGGCTGAGGCAGGAGAATGGCGTAAACCCGGGAGGTGGAGTTGGAAGTGAGCTGAGATCCGGCCACTGCACTCCAGCCTGGGCGACAGAGCGAGACTCCGTCTCAAAAACAAAAAAACAAAAAAACAAAAGACTAGTTTCCGTGGCACTAATGAGACCAATAGCAAACCCAGCCTGGAACGTCTTAGGAGACTGGTCACGATTTCCATTTCTTTCTCTGCTTGGCGTTTTTGCACGATCATGAGGAGTTTAGAGAGTAGGAGGAGGCCTCAAAAAGGACATCCTGAGCTTCTTAATAATGTGTCCAATGATGGCCTCGTCACTTAATTATAAAGAAAACTTATATTATTAATTTGTCTCCTAAGATTAAATGGATCATATTTATCATTAGATGCTTTTAAAAAAATAAAATTTACTTCTATTTATTTCGATTCATTTTTTATCATTTCTAAACACTTCTGAAAACGATAGACTTCCCTGGATTAATACTTACTTCTCTGACTTGTATAAATTTGCAAAAGGATGAGAAGCAAATAGGAGGAAAGACTTCAAGGCCTGGTGTCTTAGGTTTGTTCCCCCCACGAGGAGATAAGGATTCAGATGCAAGGGGTTCATTTTCGAGGGGGATCTCGGAAGCACCAGGAAGGGTCGAGGAAGTGAGAATGGGCAGGAAAGGGAAAAAAAAAAATTCCGGTGTGCCCAGAGCAGGCTATGTCAGTGGGCACTGGTGCTCCATCTTACTGGACTTCTGCCAGGGCATGTAGATGCGCCTCATGCCTGATGGATGCAAAGCTGAAGCATCTGGCACTAATGATCATTCACGATTGGTTGCAGGCTACTTCTGTAGGGGGTCACTCCCTGGTCCTTCTAGCCTGCCCTGTGCACAGGTTGAGGACAGTCCTGTGGCTGGAGAAAGCTGGATCTGAAGGTTGTAGAAACTTGCGGAAAGAAGCCATCAAAGTGACTTGGAAAGGTGAGTGCCTGCAGAGGGGCTATGGGTGGGGCAGCAAGAGCATTTGCTGCATCCAAGGTGCTCCAACCCCACTTCCACCAGGCAGCTCTGCATGGGAGATTATTGAGCCTGGCCTCACTGCTAATAAAGTGCTGTTTTAATTTCCACTTGGGGCCGGGCATGGTGGCTCACGCCTGTGATCCCAGCACTTTGGGAAGACGAGGCAGGTGGATCAACTTGGGGCCAGGAGTTCAAGACCAGCCTAGCTAACATGGTGAAACCTTGTCTCTACTATAAATACAAAAAATTAGCCGGGTGTGGTGGCGCACACTTGTAATCCCAGCTACTTGGAGGCTGGGGCATGAGAATTGCTTAAGCTTGGGAGGCAGAGGTAGCAGTGAGCCGAGATTTTGCCACTGCACTCCAGCCTGGGCGACGGAGAAAGACTCTGTCTCAAAAACAAAAACAAACAAACAAAAATTCCACTTGGCTGTGTTTCCTTGCTAATCATAGGCCATTTGAATGGAAGGGCTGATGGCCAGCTCTGTACTTGGGTCAGTCTTGCTAAAAGACAGAATTCCCTTGAGGGGTGTGGGTGTGGGGCAAAGTATTGCCAGATAATTGTCATAATGAGGATACCTCCTTTCTGGAGGTAGGAGTCTTTAATTCATTCCTAGGCAGCATTGTCTATCTTCCCCCTTCAACCCTAAACATCTCCCTTAACATCTCCATGTCTGTTGTGGAGGTCTAAAAGGACCTCAGGCTGCTGTGAGCATCTCACTGGGTGACCCTCCCCTAACCCTATCAAACCTCCCTTCTGGGGACCCCTTTTCTGCATTTGTCTTGGTAGCCAGAGTCTAACTGCTAATGCTGGACTCCTTGTTTATGGTGAGAGAAGAAGAGGAAGAGAAGCGTTCTGACAGCCACAGATTTAAAAAATGTATTTTGTAAGCGAAATATTTCACACTGCCTGGAGATCTTTTTTTTTTTTTTTTTTTTTTTTATTGAGACAGAGTCTCACTTTGTTTCCCAGGCTGGAGTGCAGTGGTGCGATCTCAGCTCACTGTAAGCTCCGCCTCCCGGGTTCCAGCGATTCTCCTGCCTCAGCTTCCTGAGTAGCTGGGATTATCGGTGCCCGCCATGACACCCAGCTAATTTTTGTATTTTTAGTAGAGATGGGGTTTCGCCATGTCGGCCGGGCTGGTCTTGAACTCGTGACCTCAGGTGATCGAGCTGCTTCAGCCTCCCAGAGTGCTGGGATTAGGCATGAGCCAATGCACTCGGCCAGATCATTTTTATGGTTACATTTGTTGCATTGAAAAAACCGGGCTCTTTGGATTTCTCCATTAATTTTTATACCTTTCCATTGTTTATGCCTGCAAAGAATTTTTCAAAATGTCTGCTATTATGATATTGATATACAAGAAAGTTTTTTAGGGCTTTAGGGCTATAATGATTTAAAATCTATCTGTCTATCTAGCTATAGATAGATAGAGTTTTATGTTCACACACATGTATAAATATAATCCAAATATATATAATTCAAGTATATTATAATTGAAATATGCATATGCATATAATTTCAATAAGAAAAATCTCTATGCATTGACATGGAAAGATAGATCTGTAAACAATAGTTAGAGAATAGTAGGTTTGTGAACAAGAGCAACAATCCCTCCTCCCCTTCTGCCCTCACGACCCTCCCTCTGTTTAGAGAAAGGTCTGGAAGAAAGCACACCAGACATTTAACAATGTTTTTGTGTGAAAAAGAGAAGGCTAGGTAAGGAGATTTTCGCATTTCATTTTACACATTTCCCTCTTGTCTGATTCTACTTTCAAGAAGCATGAACTTTTACAATTAAAAATTTAAAAAAATCCCAAATCCACAGCCCTTCCCCTCTTCAAGAGGTGCCATAGGAAGCCGCTCCCCTCTTACTAGAGGCATCATAAAAAGAGGCATCCCCAGCAAAGGCTTCCCAAGGTGGGCAGTGCCGCTTTGAGTGGTGGCCAGGGCTAGAAGAGGTGGCTTCTCTGTGCCTTGAAGATATTGAGCTGGGTTCTGATGCAGCAGAAGCTGGAGACGGAAGTGCGCCGAAACCAGCTCTCTCTACCTGATGGGAAATAGAGCATTGCTACAGGAAGGCAGCCCCAGGGTCAGATGACTAAGGGACACAGGGTAAAATGCCAACAGACAAGCACCCCTAGGTGGTTGGATAGTGACCGATCCCACAGAATGGTGGGCAAAGGGCTGCCATGGGCACATTCGCTCCTATCACACTGCCCTCAGCTGCGCCCTGGCTGCCCCACCCCATCCCAGGAAAGGGAGTGATCATTTGATTGGTCCGAATCTGAGGCAGTCATGGAGACAAACTTGCTAAAGATAAAAGGACCTTGAGAATTCTTACACTTACAGGTTGTGGACAAGGAACAGCCAAGGAAGGAGACAGAGCAGGAAGCCTCAGAATTTAGGTGGAGAGTAGAGCCGTATCTCAGAAGCAGAGTATTATATTGAATGTCTCTGTTCGATTCAATTAGACAAACATTTATCAAACTACTAATAGAGAAACACACTGTCAGGCTCCAGTAGCACCAAAGTGTTTCTTGATTTTAAGGAACTTAGAAGATAAATGGAGAGATGAATAGTTATCAGGTTGAACCATGCGAAATGCCAAGATTCCACCATTTTGATCCACAAAAACTGCAGTTTCATATGAAACAACCTAATGTAATATGAGAAAAATGCAATTATTATCTTCACAGAGGTTTTAGCAATGGTATTTTTATACACAGAGGAAGTACTCAAGATGGAAAGACACATCTCAAAAGGCCTGACATCTACATCGATTTTCCTGAATGACTTTTATTTTCATTGCTCAGGACGTTAGCATCTTCTGAAATGTCACGTTTAAAAGGCTGACTGGCCTTATTGTTACAAGATAGCACCAAAACTTACTTTTCATTTATGTCCAGAGATAAGAGAAGGTTTAAGTCTTTCTCTTAATGATCCAACAAACATCCTGAGATCACCCTGCCATCCTGATTAAACCAACTGGGTTCCATGCTAACTGTAAATCATGGATAGGGAATTGCATATGTTGATAGGCTCAGGTCTGGAATCTCGTCCATCAGGAGCAAGAGGAGGGGTCAACCCTGCATAAACCCATAGCTGCTCCCGTAGGGAATGGATGAGACGGAGATTGGGAACGCAAGCAGGCATGTCACTTCAGAGTTTAAGCGGCAGGGTGGCACTTGAGATTTAGAAAGATGGCTTTGCAGCATTGTGGATTTAACTGCTGAAGGTGAGTGACATTGGAGACAGAGAGGCCAGTCAGGAGGTAATTTAAGGGATCCTGGCAAGAAAAGATAAGTGTGCATGAAAATGGGGGGCAATGTGAGTCAAGAGGACTCACTTCATGGTGTGACGGAGCTAATAGAAATTGGGGACCACCTTGATGCGGAGAATGAGGGAGGTGGGATGGGGTAAGAATGCCTTGCCCATTTCTGATGTCGTGGTGAAAGTGGAGGTGCGGTTCATTAGGAGAAGTGGAGGGAGAAGACATTTAAGTTTTGGAGGAAAGATGACTAGGTCTGTGATCTTTTCTTTTTATGTGTTTTTCTTTCTTTCTTTTCTTTCTTTCTTTCTTTCTTTCTTTCTTTCTTTCTTTCTTTCTTTCTTTCTTTCTTTCTTTCTTTTTTTTTTTCTTTCTTTCTTTCTTTCTTTCTTTCTTTCTTTCTTTCTTTCTTTCTTTCTTTCTTTCTTTCTTTCTTTCTTTCTTTTTTCTTTTGAGACAAAGTCTCACTCTGTCACCCAGGCTGGAGTGCAGTGGCATGATCTCAACTCAGTGCAGCCTCCACCCCTGGGGTTCAAGTGATTCTCCTGCCTCAGCCTCCAGAGTAGCTGGTACTACAGGTGCGCACCACCACGCCTGGCTAATGTTTGTGTTTTTAGTGGAGATGAGGGTTCACCATATTGGCCAGGCTGGTCTTGAACTCCTGACCTTGTGATCTGCCCACCTCAGCCTCCCAATGTGCTGGGATTACAGGCATGAGCCACCGTGCCCGGCCCTTTTTGTATGTTTTTCTTTTGGTTGAGATGACCTTGGAATAAGATGGATAACTGGTTTTGCACCTAGAAGAGGCTAAAATGCAGGGTTGAGGTCAACAGTGTAGGGTTAAAACCATGTGTATGGTTGAGCTCTTCCTAGCTAGAGTGCAGGAAGGAGAGGGAGGAGGGGGCTGATGGGATGGAGGGGGCTATGAAGGCAGACAAGGAGCGAGCCCTGTGATTTGGGACAACCTCTTTCAATCATTGTTTCATTAAATGTAAAAAAGGGATAAAAGCAACTGTCTCATAGGCTTGTTTTGCTGAGGAAAAGTCTATGCAAAGCTGGTATGGTACCTGACACAAGGGAAGTGTTTGCAGGATTTCTATGCCCTGCTTAAATGAAAATGTTTCATGTAAAATGGAAAGATTCTGAATAGAGAAAATAATCAGCCAATAAGGTAAGTCAAGGCTGGTTCTTTTTATCATCATGATTATAGTGGCAAAGAGGGTCTCCTTGGGAACCAGCACAGCCACATTCCTGCCCTGTGACCTTGGACAAGGTTCTCCAAGCCTGTTTTCTCTTCTGTAAAAGTGCATATAACATACCCTTTATACAGATATTGTTATGTTGAAATAAGGACATAAGTAAAACTCTTAGCAGAGTTCTTGATGCGATAAACAGTTATGTCATGGTTTTAAAGGAGTAAGACCTGGAGGGATTAGCGTCCCAGAAGCCCAAGAAAGAGAGAACAGTGTCAAGGCAAGGAACTTCTATAGAATGAGGACAAGGAGCCTCTACTGGTTTTGGCCACAAGGTGACTGTTGACCTGAGAAGACACGGGTTTGGATGAGTGGTTGAGGTGCAGTCTGGCTGCAGGTGGGCTGAGCTACAATAAGGAGGTGAGAAAAATGGAGACATTACAGTGCTTGAGTCTCCAGGCAAGGAAAGAAGATAACAGGCAGAAGGTGTGTAGGGTCGTGAGTGTTGTTTCCCAGGTGGTTAGTTTTGGTTTTGTTTTAACACAGAAAATAGGCCCATTTCTAAGTCTCCTTGTGTGTTTCTAAGACATCCTTTCCACTCAGATTTTATAGAGGATTATTAAAAATACTGACCACTCAGGAAACAACAGGTGCTGGAGAGGATGTGGAGAAATAGGAACACTTTTACACTGTTGGTGGGATTGTAAACTAGTTCAACCATTATGGAAAACAGTATGGCGATTCCTCAAGGATCTAGAACTAGAAGTACCATATGACCCAGCCATCCCATTACTGGGTATATACCCAAAGGATTATAAATCATGCTGCTATAAAGACACATGCACACGTATGTTTATTGTGGCACTATTCACAATAGCAAAGACTTGGAATCAACCCAAATGTCCATCAGTGACAGACTGGATTAAGAAAATGTGGCACATATACACCATGGAATACTACGCAGCCATAAAAAAGGATGAGTTTATGTCCTTTGTAGGGACATGGATGCAGCTGGAAACCATCATTCTCAGCAAGAACAGAAAACCAAACACCGCATATTCTCACTCATAGGTGGGAACTGAACAATGAGATCACCTGGACTCGGGAAGGGGGACATCACACTCCGGGGCATATCACGGGGAGGGGGGATGGGGGAGGGATTGAATTGGGAGTTATACCTGATGTAAATGACGAGTTGATGGGTGCTGACGAGTTGATGGGTGCAGCACACCAACATGGCACAAGTATACATATGTAACAAACCTGCACGTTATGCACATGTACCCTAGAACTTAAAGTATAATAAAAAAAAAAAATACTGACCACCCATTACTTAGGATGAAGATCTTTTTCTTCATTCAGATTCAAATAAGACAGGCTTGTTTGGATATAAAGACTGTCTTTTAATCAAAATAAATGGTTTGACCCTGCTAGAAATACTTGACTTTCTTTTCTTTTTCTAAATCACAATCTGTTTAAAATCAGCATAATCAGACAAGACAGGGAAATTGCAATGTATTTGGAAACATGGACAATAAGATAAAGAGAGCCTGGGAATGTTTCCTTCTCTCAGCAGTCTTTCAGTGCTGTTCTGGGTGCAAAGATTTTCTGCTTAGCAGACGCATTGTTAGTTAAAATTCACACACACACGCACAAATACGAAAGCCATAGAAATCTACAAGACATACCTCAATTTTCCAGTGAGGAAACTGAGACCAGTTTCTGCAACATCATGCGATTAGTCAGTAACAGATGGGACTATAACACTGTAAGTTCTCCTGGGTCCAAGATCAGTCCTTGTTCCATCACACTAAATTCAGGTAACTGGCATTTATCCCTGTTTCTCACCAGATCTGTGAACCCAGGTGTTCAACTTTTCCTTCCCTCACCACAGTTCCTTAGCATTTGGGTATAACTTTATTAATAAGACATATTTACTCTATGTTATGATATTATCTCTCTCATTAGTGCCTGAAAGGCAGAAATCTCTCTCTCTCTCTCTAAACATATATATACACACACACACACTCTACATATATACATATGTATATATGTGCACACATATGTGTGTGTGTATATATATGTATGTATGTATTTGAATATGTGTATCTCCAGTGCTCTGCACTGTCCCTGAAGAATCTATTGAGTACCGGAATGGGTGGATAAGCAAATGATCTATCTGATTTATCTTGACTTTTCCTTATATAATTTCCTAGAGTGACATACAGGCTTTGATACTTTGATATTTCTGTACACACATGATCCAAATAGTTGCACCTATTCCAGAACCCTTCCTTCCAAAGGACAATTTCTGTCACTGCAGCCTGCCCCACGTCCCTTCTTACAGGCATCATGGGAGCACATGCACTTCTAGCACAGATGGTCAATTTCTCTTGGAAGTGAAATTATTTTCATGAATCTCAAAGGATATGGGATATCTCCATTGTGTATTTTTCATAGGATGTAATTTGTGGTTTTATTTTTTTTTTGCCACCCTAAATTAGAAGGAGAACATCCAAATTTTGTCCATATTTTAGCAGATATATTATATGGTAGTACACACTCTCTCCAGCTAATCAACCCTACCACCTGCCTCGATGAATTTCTGGATGTCTTTGGACCTACTGAGTATATCATCTCAGACTGGCTACTCCAGAATGGAGGATAGTGATGACTTAGAGTCCAGGGATTCAGTCCTACAGCCCTCAGCCCTCCTTATTGTTCAAATTAGAGGAAACTGGGCCTTTTTCCAAATGAGTAGAATGTAATTTTAAAGTATTTGTCACCCTTCTATTGATTTCTTGTCTCCCCTTTCTAGGCATATATCACTGATATCCCCATTTTTCTCAACCACTTGTCACTCCTCAAACCTGCAGTTAGAGTCCAACCCCACCATTGCTTAACTCCATCAATGTTCACCAAATCCCTTTACTAAAATCTGTGTTCTTTCCCAGGTTGAATAAGTAGATATGCGTTGCCACTGAAATGCTAGAAATTAATGAAGACGATAAAAAATTCGTAAGCCAAAAACCAATGGCAAGCAACTCGGGTACATACTTGTAAGTTTTCCCAAACTTGAGAAGATAATCAAAGTCATGGCTGAGAAGAAGGAAAAGAGAGGGAAGCAGAGGCTGTGGGGCAGGGAAAGGTCCGGTTGACCTACAGAAGTTGGGTTACCCTCCCTGCCTCCACTGAGGATCACCAAGAAGAAAGTAGAAAGACAATAAAAGACTTGTGAAGATTTTAGCAGTATCCCTGCCTTTGGAGTGTAATCTCACCTCTCTTCTGTTTTTCTTCATTCTGGAATGAGTGTTTTCTCTATAGCTATATTCTTTCTCTTTCTCTCTCTCTCAAAGAGATTTTGGATGCCTCTGCACTGATATTACATGCCAAAGAAAGGGATTGCACAAGAACAAGAGCTCCTACATGGATCCTCTACAGTCTTTTGTGCTCCTACAGGCCCCCGTGATTTGGTCTCCTAGATTTTGTTCACACCCACCCTCAGGTCTTCTACCTGGCTACCTCTCTTTAAATCTCATCATGGATAGAATGCCGTTTCCTAAGTTCGCCCTGACATTGCTGTATTAATGAGGACTCTAACATTGTACCTGATAAAAACGCAAATTACTCTAAGCCAAGCTTGTCCAATCCACAGCCTGCAGACCACATGTAGCCCAGGACAGCTTTGAATGAAGTCCAACACAAATTTGTGAACTGTCTTAAAACTTTATGAGTTGTTTTGCAATTTTTTTTAGCTCATCAGCTCTCATTAGTGTTAGTGTATTTTGTGTGTGGCCCAAGATCATCCTTCTTCCAATGTGACCCAGGGAAGCCAAAAGATTGGACACCGCTGGTCTAAGCCAAAAGAAATTGATTGGCTCACATAATTGAAAACTGTGTGAGTTAGTTCGGTTTCAGTCACAGATAGATTTGGGACTTAAATAAACCATATTATCATGTTCCCTCTCTGCCTCCTTCCTCATTTCTTGGGTCTGCTTTCATCTGCGTTGGCTTCATTCTCTTCCAAATGATCTCCATGTGATAGGGTTCCTCCAGGCTTATAAGATTCTTAGATTTTATGCTCTCAAATTGGAAACCTTTCAGACTTCCAGAATCCATACAAGTCTCTGCAAAAGGATTCTGCTTGGCCACGGTTGGGCCACGTGCCCATCTTGGAGCAGTCTGTGTATCTTGGGGAGTGGTATTTGCTGTTATCCTCAGCAATATGCCCACCACTGGGACAGTGGAAACTGGCCCCAATTGATAGTTCTACTAGAATTACATGGTGTGGGACTGATGGTTCCTAAGAGAAAGTGTTGTGGATCACACAAACGTAACAGAGGGCTGCTATAACTGCTATCTTTGAAATAATCACACTATTTATTTATTAACTCTGAGGAAATTAAACAAAAATGACAAATCAGGGATATGATATTAAAAATATCTTACGTCACTGGTAGGTGCCCTTGCTCTTCCAGACTTCTAAAGTGAATCTCTAACGGGGTAGGGAGAATCTCTGTTTTCCTCATTATTGTCTTCTTAGTACCTGGAACATAATAGGTGTTTAATACAGTTTCTTTATAATAGGGTATCAAGTGAGGTGAAATTGAAAACAGTAAGCCAGTGACTACTAAGTTATGGAGGCCAATAGCAAGAAGAGATGGAATAATTTTCCTTATCGCAGGAAGAATCATGTCAGTGAGCAGCCCTCTCAATTAAGAAGTTGTAAGGTAGCAGGCACCTATAGATGAGGATGCTGGATGTACTCAGTGGTGTGCTGGTAAATGTTCAACAAGGGATTCTCCAAGGACAAAAAACAACTCTGATTTGTAGCAATTGCCTATTCCTGTTGTGCAAACACTCCCACTGTGGTCAAAACCAGCTTAGGTTGGATGAGATGGCTCATGCCTGCAATCCCAGCACTTTGGGAGGCTGAGAAGAGAGGATTTGTTGAGCCCAGGAGTTTGAGATCAGCACGGGCAACACAGTGAGATCCCATCTTTACAAAAAATAAAAAAAAAAATTAGCTAGGTGTGGTGGTGCGCACCTGTAGTCCCAACTACTAGAGAGGCTGAAGTAAGAGAATTGCTTGCGCCAAGATGTTCAGGGCTACAGTGAGCTGTGATTGTACTATTGCACTCCTGGGTGATAGAGTGAGACCCTGTCTCAAAAACAAAATAAAATAATGTAATCTGAGTCACTGAAGGCGGAGTTGGGAAGAGCTGCACACCACCAGTCACAATTGGTTCTCAGGAGTCTGTATGCTCTATGAGCTGGCTCTAGCCCAACATACGACGTAACCAAGCCTTTTGTGGATTGATGAAGGCTGCTCCTCCCTGAGATTCTTCAGTAGGAACCCTCAGAAGAGAGTCACCAATTGCATATGGAACTTGGGGTTTTCTGGGGACAAGAGATCAACATCTAAAATCCTTATCCAAATATTTGAAATTAGTTAAACATAATGAAGTGGCCCGAGGTGGCACTGAGCAGGACTCTTGGTCAGATAAGGACCCAGGGATCCCAAAGAGAAACTCACCATGAGGTACATAGTTGGTCTGGTGACCTGGGAACAACATTGGTATTAAGGTCACTGAGAATTTCGAATGTAGCCTATGACTGAGCCTAGAAGTTACTCTGGACTCAGCCACCCAGGCAAAGATAATGTGCTTCAGAGGACAATGATTAAGAATTTGAGTGTAGCTAAAAAGATAAAGTACTGAATCCCATTAAGTGCACCACTTGAATTCTGCCAGGTTTCCAGACAGCAAAGACCTCAATGCAACAGTGCATAAATGTTCTTTCAATTGTAAGGCCCAGTATGAACAGTTATGTAAACCAGCAGTTTCCAACTAAGCCCTAAGTGCTCACAGAGTGTTATCAGTCAGGATAGGTTTAGGTTATGCCATAGTAACAAGCAATACACAAGTTTTAGTGGCTTAATACAACATGAAGTTATTCCGAGATTATTCTGAATGCCATCATAGATATTGAAGGTCCAGGCTGATACATATTCTTGACGCCTGTTGCTACCATTGCTGAGGCAGAAAATGATGTAACACATTTATGCAATGGATTTTAAATGACACCTCAATTCTGCTCTCGTTTCATTGGACAAAGTGAGTCCTGTAACTGCATCTAACCCCTCTGTGGGCAGGGTTGTGCAATCCTAGCCTGTGCCCAGAAGATGGAGCTGGCAAACAGCACTAACAACCTCAGAGGTTGACTGAAAATTCATATTATGTTTTTCCTCTTAGCCTTTGTAAGAAGAAATCAACCTTATTTGATGCTTGAACTGAATAAGCCCCCAGGAATCTTGAACAACTCAGTTGGAGGAAGGCCTAAAGGGGACACTAAAACCCCTGGTTTGTAGGTAGGGGAAACCTCTATCAATTTACTTGGAAAATGTAAAGAGCAGTTTTGGTATGTCAAACAGGTAAAATAAATCAAATCAGGTGCATGTTGAATGAATGAATGAAAGAAACTTCATTCAATGGAATTATACCTCTCTCCTGTAAACATTATTTTTTGTGATTCTTTTCAGACATTTTCCACAGAGTTCCTGTCCCTTCATTCAATTGCATTATTGACGTAGGTGAGAACAATCATTTATCCTTCTCCTTTGAGAAGAAGACCCCATAATTAGGTTTATCCCTCTCCCAGTAGGTTTTGTAGATAGAATTGAAAGATTTATTTTTTTAATAAATGGGAGCCAAATGTTGAATGAGGGCCATTTAAGCATGAGATGCAATAAAGTTTGGAAAGCTTAGGTTTCAATCCCAGAGCACAGAAGTTTAGAGATCACAAAATTCTTTTGTTCTAGTTTGTTGAATTGTTCTTAAAAACTCTAAAAGCAGAGCATTCTTTCTGCAGCATGACACACAAAACAGAGATATACAAGCAAAAGATGTCTCATTACCCCCAATCTCTCCGGGTAATCAATATCAATAGATGTGGCTCTTTCCACATCTTTTTCTGCACTCGTAAGCACACATACACATCTCTAGAAAGGACATACACATATGATGCATCCCTCTTCATTTCTTCTTCCTTACTTCTTTTCTCCTTCTCCTTCTTCTTCTTTTCTTAGACAGTCTCGCTCTGTTGCCCAGGCTGGAGTGCAGTGGCGCAATCTTGGCTCACTGCAAGCTCCGCCTCCCGGTTTCAGGCCATTCTCTTGCCTCAGCCTGCCGAGTAGCTGGGACTACAGGTGCCCGCCACCACGCCCGGCTATTTTTTTTTTTTTTGTATTTTTTCGTAGAGACGGAGTTTCACCGTGTTAGCCAGGATGCTCTGGATCTCCTGACCTCGTGATCTGCCTGCCTCAGTCTCCCAAAGTAGAAACTCAATTGTTTTAGTAATCTGTGAACACCTCTATAGGTCAGGCATTTTCACCTTGTGGGTTTACCCCTTTGTGTATCATAAAATCAGTTTACCCAACCAGTAATTTTTAAGTGAAGCAGCATAGAAAAGAATAGTAAATATCAGAGAACTTTGCATGTGGTAAGGATAAGTATTGTTTTCTGAAAATTTTATTTCATATGTGTATATAAATTTCCTCACCTACAAAATGAGGGTAATAATAGTGCCTCTTCATGGGCTATTGATAGGATTAAATGAACAATTGCACATACAATTCTTAGAATTTTATGCCAATTTTATGACTGGTACCTTGTAAGCACAGTGTAGGTGTCATCTTTGTCACCATCATTAGCATCATCCTCATCATAATCACCATTGTTCCCACTAGACCTGACGTTTTGTCTAATCCAAGGGTGGAGGAAAGCATATTATTTGTTTTCATTTGTATTTGCCTTTCCACTAGCCAGACGGAGTATCTCTTCATATGTTTGTTAGCCCTTTGTGTTTTCCCTTGAACAAATTTCCTGTTCATTATGCCATACTCATTTGTCTGTTTTTATTTGATCTTGAAACAATTAATTGTACAACAGGGATATTAATTCTTTGACCTTACTGGCAAATATTCTTATTGCTGATATTGGAAAATATTATATTGGCAAATATTCTTACCAATCTATCACAGTCCTCTGAATTTTATCTATAGTGCCTTTATCCATTTATCCATTTCTAATTTTTGAAATAGCACTTAGTTGCTTTCTTTCTTATGGCTTTGGGGAATCTCTTCTTGCTTAATAAGGACTTCTCTACCCAATAGCTACATAAATATTCTCCTACATTTTTCTCCCCCAAATCTTGAATGCTTTATTTTTTACATTAGATCTTGAA